TGGACCGGATGGGCCATTGGCCTGATCCAACATTGGCTTCTCTTACGTTCTCTTATGGAGAATAAAGGAAGTGGGAAATTAGATAAACATCTGGAGCAGATGTCCATCAGTGGCTATTAGCCACAAGGTATAGATAGGAACTCTCAGTCTGGTGCAAGTGATGGTCTGTCTTCTTTGTGTTTGGGGGAGGCAACAGTGGGAGTGCTCCTAGTGTCCTCGGGATCGGGGACGCCGTACTTCTTGGCACACAACAACAACAACAACCCACTACAACCCCAAGATCTCTCCCCCCCCCCCCCAGTCTCAGCAAGTTCAGACCCCATGAGCCTATACTTGAAGTTGGGATTTTTTGTCCCCGTGTACATAAAAATGTTTTAAACAAATAAAATAAAACGCATATAACCTCTGAGCCGGCTTCGTGAGGGGTAACAGCAGCAGAAGTCACACACCACACCCACACTCTGCACTGCTTCCAGGGCGTCAGCAGTGGGAACAGAACTCTTTCTTTGGGGTAGGGACCCCTCTGTACACCCCCCCCCCAGTTAAACTATTTGCTGGCCGGAGCCGATCCTTCTGTCTTTCATTTCATAGGCAGCACCTACCACATGGGTGGCGTTTGCACAAGGGAAGAGGCGCACTGCCCTCTCCTGGGTGGATGTGGATCTTGCTAGGTGCAGAGCTTTAAAAGGTAATTAGATTCCAGTTTGCGGCCCCTTAGAGGCCAACACAAGTTTCAGAGTCTAGGTTTTCAAGACGGATACCCTGGAACTCTCATTGGTCTCTTAATCTGCTACTGGGCTCAAATCTAAATGTTCTACTGCAGGAGAACTCAGCTGCCCTCTGGAACCGCCTTAAAAAACAGTTCCCGGGAAGCAGAGAGCCAGTTTGGTGTGGTGGTTGAGTGCACAGACTCTGATCTGGGAGAACCGGGTTTAATTCCCCACTCCTCCACTTGCACCTGGCTGGATGACTTGGGCAAGCCATAGTTCTGATAAGAGCTGTTCTTGAAAAAGAGCAGTTTCTGTCAAGAGCTCTCTCAGCCCCACCCACCTCACAGGGTGTCTGTTGTGGGGAGGGGGAGGGAAAGGAGTTTGTAAGCCGCTCTGAGACACCTTTGGGTAGTGAAGGGCGGGGTATAAATCCAATCTCTTCTTCTTCTTCAGATGTGTGCGGGCCCATAAGGAAAGTGCAGAGAGAGAGGAAGGCCGAACGGAGCGACCGCAGGCCGTCTCCATCCTCCTCTGCATCTCTCAGCCTTTTGGCAGGCTGCTCCCCCGCCTAGAACAGCCACCTGCATTTTGGACGCAGGTCCCCTTTCCGAGACACCTCAGCCGTGGGGATGTCTCCCCCTCTCCCGGCTTTCCGCAAACTACGCAAAGCTGAACTATTCAGGAGGGCTTTCCTGTGCAGGCAATAGGGCTGCCCTGTACAAAATGTTTTACAGCAGGGCTTTTTTTCTTTGGTAGAAAAAGCCCAGCAGGAACTCATTAGCATAATAGGCCACACCCAACAGCAGAAACTAATTAGCATATTAGGCCACACCCCATGCCCTTCCCCTG